TTATCAGTCTATCGAATTTTCTTGATTTTGAATTGGACTGAATGAATCTTTTCTATCAGGAGGTCCAGGCCATTAAAAATACGATATGTAAAAACACTGGTCGGATTCAGGAGGTCTTTGCTGAGCTGCCGGGGATCAGCTGCCAGCCACTGAAGGCCGGGTTTTTTGTCTTCCCCTGTCTACACTTCTCTCTGAAGGCAATAAAATGGGCCAAGGTGAGAATCTGTGTATTTCACCAATTTGTAAGTGACTGAATTAAAAGTACTGTTGTAATGCCGGAGCAGATATGCATGACCTCAAGCTTATCAGGGACTCATAAAAATCTGAGATGCATGCTCAATGTTGTGCAGATCTTATAAGAAGCTACAGGAAACATTTGGTGGAGGTTGTTGCTGCTAAAAGAGGATCTACTACAGGATCTGCTCATTCCTGTTTGTAATTATCAAGTGTTCATGAAAATCCGGTGTATTTGATTGGGGTTGGAGCTAAACTTTGATGGAAGGCAGATTTTCAAGAACAGGATTGAGCAACTGGATACTAACTTCAAGGGTTCAATTACTTTTTCCAGTGAATGATTGCTGAATGTATTTGATTAAAATTTTGGGAAAGTACAACTGTTTGCATGTTATTAGTTTAGTCAGATTGTGTTTGTCTAGAATTGTGACCAATATCATTTAACATTATTGGAAACTGTACATTCATTTCGATGACACTGAGAGAAGCAAACATAGAAATACAGTTCATAAACGCATTCTAGGATTGTGTCTGGAACTGATATTTTACAGAGTAACCAGAGGCGGACTTATTGATTAGAGGGCCAAATAATTTTGTCTAGTGACGTGGCCATGAAGAATGGTAAATGTTTGCCTCTACTGGTAAATAATGGTATTACACTATTATACAAAGAAATAAAACAGTGCTTCTCCATTGAAGGCCAATAAAAAGTAGTATATTTACACAAAATGTGTGCCATCATCCAGTCAGCATTGCAATCTATTTATTAATTTAACGAATGCCTTTATCGGAAGCAAGGAACATCCCAAGTAATTTGTAATTTTCCTGAGCTGTGAAGGCATAACTGTCTCGATACACATGATCTGTGATCAGTTGCACTGTCTTCAGTCCAGCCATAAATTCTGAATACCTCAGCGAACAAATGCATTAATCGGACTGTAGTTCCCATGTTTTCTTTTAAAGTTGTTTTCTCTTCATAGAAAAGACAGATGGAACCAGACATGCTGTACTGTTTGTGTTTGCTGGAGGAAACCGGTCTGCATGTGAGGCCGGGCTGTGAATACGGACAGAGAAAAGACAGCCATCACATCAGGTTTGTGCACTGCCACTGTTGTGAGTTACTGCATGCATGTGAATGGTAGCCTCACACAAAACACTCTAAATGTGAATTTGTCAATTACAGTCAGTCTTTCCACAGTAGCCATTCAAATAAACCAAACATTGCATCTCCCATTGATTCCCTGTGAAAACCCGTTCTTATTGTTTCTCAGGCTTTTTGTGGCAACTCAAGAGAACATAATGGAAGATGCTCTGCAAAGACTGAAGACGTTCCACACGCGATTCATGAAGGAGTTTTCTTAGTGTCATCTTCAGATTATCAGATCTGTTTAACCCTGGAATGCATGAATGTTTCACCAATCAGCAACTCAAAATATATATCTAAACTGATCCAATAGTATACAACTGTTCTGATATTTTAATTACAATTGCAAAGTGGAAAAATAAAGCATGTTTCATTATGTTTTGGAACTTGGTCGGGTGTTTTGAGCAACTGGTTACTTTCAGCATCTGGCTCTTATTGGGGATCTGAACCTTTCAATACATTATTCTCAAAACTTTTTCACTCATGTCACAGATTTGCAGTAATCTACTGTACATGTATTTCAGTGTGAGTAAATTGTTCAATTGTACACATTTTGAGTGCTTCCAGTTATTTCACCTGTACAAAAACACTCAATCATGCTTCTCGATATTGCAAACTGGTATTTGCTATCGTACTAATTTAATGCATTATCGTAATCATAAACACTGGTTTGTAGCACAAATAATTTTACTGTTAACTGCACTTTGTTATTCTTTGGTCTCGCAAATTCAAAGAAAAAAGCTGGATTGTACAGACAGCAGCTGAAATATTCTTCAGATATCTTCTTATACGACATAAGGGTGAAGAAAGGCTGACGATTTTCATATTTCACTCTTAAAAATAAAGGATGCCATAGAATAACCCTTTTGTCTAAATGGTTCCATAAAGAACCTTTAACATCTGAAGAACCTTTCTGTTTCACAAAAGCTTCTTTGTGGCGAAAGAAGGTTCTTCAGATTATAAAAAGGTAAGAAAGAGATGTTCTTTGACTGAATGCTTCTTTGTGGAACCAAAAATAGTTCTTCTGTGGCATCGCTGTGAAGAACCTTTAAAACATCTTTATTTTTAAGAGTGTTGGGTGAATTATGCCTTTGAATGTCATGCACAACAGCACAAACTATTTTTTTATTTGTAGCAATAGCCAACAATACATTGTATGGGTCACAATTAAAAACATCTTTATTTTTAAGAGTGTTGGGTGAATTATGCCTTTGAATGTCATGCACAACAGCACAAACTATTTTTTTATTTGTAGCAATAGCCAACAATACATAGTATGGGTCACAATTATACATTTCTCTTTTATGCCAAAAATCATTAGGATATTAAGTAAAGATCATGTTCCTTGAAGATATTTTGTAAATGTCCTACCGTAAATATATCAAAACTTAATGTTTGATTAGTAATATGCATTGCTAAGAACTTCATTTGAACAACTTTAAAGGCTATTTTCTCAATATTTAGATTTTTTTGCACCCTCAGATTCCAGATTTTCAAATAGTTGTATCTCAGCCAAATATTGTCCGATCCTAACAAACCATACATCAATGGAGAGATTATTTATTCAGCTTTATTCAGCTGATGCATACATCTCAATTTCACAAAATTGACCCTTATGACTGGTTTTGTGGTCACATATAAACAAATAAGAGAGAAAATATATAATCAATAAATAAAAAGGCATAGCTCACTTATTCAATTTTAATGAATAGTGAATAAGGATATTATAAAGTAGCAGGGGGATTGAAGAGTGTATCCTAGTATTTTAAACATTTCACAGACTTTTTGTTTTTTAACAATCTTATTGAAGAAATATAAAAGTCCAAGTCAGAACAAAACAAATTTAACATAGGAGATGAATTAAGAAATGTTTCTTTATGTATGTGAAATTTTGCTAATAAAATAAAAAGGTTAACAATAAATTCTAGATCCTTGCTTTTGTTTTCATAATACAAGATAACATCCTTTAAAGTAAAGCAACAATTAATATTTATTAAATTAAATATAACATCTGCCAAATCAATCCAAAACGTGTTTACGACTTTACAGTCAAAAAATTAGTGAGTCAGTATCTCTTTCTCATTATTACAAAAACAGCATATATCATCAATATCAGTGAATCTCGAAGTTAACGATTTAGAAGAGTAAATGGTAAGTAGAATTTTTAAATGCATTTCTTTTATTTTATTATTAATACAATATTTAAAAGGAATCAGCCAAGCTCTTCTCCAGTCAATATTCTCAATTATAGAGTTCCAAAAAAATAAAAATCCCTCTAGAAGATATTTAATTTTGTTTTTGGAAGATATTATAAATATGTTTGTTATTGCATTTTTTCTCAGTTAGCTCAACGCCTTCCAAAATTATTATTATGTAATACATATTGTGATTGCAAACGTGTCAATAAAGAGACTTTTATTTTATTCCCGATTACATTTAAAACACAGTATTGAAAATCAAATCACATATTTAAATAAACTCGGGAAAAATATGATTTTTGTATTATTTTGCATAAGCCTAAGTGATGAAATCAGAGATTTGAACTGAAGAGGAAATAGAGACTTTTATTTTGGCGTCATGACGTCACGCGTCGGCGGAGGACAGGTTTGTGGTTTGCAGCGCTTCAGTGTTCAGTGTTTAAAGCGATGCGAAACGTTAAAGTTGCTTAGAAGTTCTGCTGTTATCAACACGGAAATATTACTGAAGCCACTGTGCATTAGTGATGTGAAGTGAGTGCAGAGTGTTACAGAATGCAGTGCTGTACCGGTTCGAGGCCTGCTCGCACTGAGAGTGAAGCAAGAGTGCAGAATAAGAATGATACATATATATATTCTCACTCTGCATCGCTCCATTTATTACTGAAGCTGCATTTTTCTTTTCGATCAGTAGCCTTTATAGTCCTTCAGAATCAGAGCTTTATAGCCAGGTACAGTATGTTCACACATACGACGCATCTGTGTTGATGACAGAAACAGAAACAGTGACAGACCAGACACACAGAATTAAAGGAAATAACTAAAATATTTTCAAAAAAACTATATACAAAATAGACAATAGATGGTATTAGTGTGTACAGGTATGTTATGGATAAATGCAAGAAATGTAAATAAGAAGTAGTGTGTGTTAATATATA